AGAGAGAGACAGAGACAGAGAGAGAGAGACTGACTGAAGATGAGGTGCTTGGGTTCAAACAAAATACTCCACAAATTTTAGAACTCTTAAATTAGCTCATCCTAGAAGTAATTAAGATGCCCAAACATCCTCATTGGCCTGAGGCACTCCTGGTTTCTATTTATTGCCCCAGGATAACTCTTACTCTTAATGAGTTCAGGTTTGGAGCTAAATTCTATGATCACTCCAACTATAATACAAAGACATTCTGCTTCAAATCTGATAGGTCTGGATTCCTATCCAGCATCTGTCACTTAGTACTTGCAGCTGTCACATAATATACAGAATACTGAAGTTATTTTTTAAAAAGACATTTAGAGAATACAAAATCAGAAAAATAAAATATTGAGCAGATCTCTGGTAACAATTTAAATCACCACACATGCACAACATGGCAAAGCTTACCATAATCCACAGAGTAGTAGTGTATCACTTATACTCAATACAAACACTTCATTGTCCAACATTTCATGTTTAAAATGCCAAGTGTAAGAAGCTGAATACATTTTTATATAACATAATTAAAGTAGCTGCCATTTACTGCTAGACAGGTGACACAGTTAACTCTCACAATAACCTTGTGAGAGATTTCATGGAGCACAGTAGCACACACCTGTAATCCTAGTATTCTGGAAGGCTGAGGCAGGAGGATCATAAATTCAAGCCCTGACTGAGAAACTTCTCAAGACACTGTCTCAACATAAAAACAAAAAATAAAACATTTTAAAGAGGTACGGATGTAGCTCAGTGTAAAAGTCTTGGCAGGGGAGGGGAATTTTTCTCATTTTATACATGAGGAAACTGAGAATCAGGAAGGGAGAGACTGATTTATTAAAACAACTTGTGCGGGATAGCTCAGTGGCATAAGCACCTGCCTGGCAAGTGTAAGGTCCTGAGTTCCCAATATAAATAAATAAATAAGCAAGCAAGCCTGAGGTGCAAAGGAACAAGGAATAGTTGGTATCAGAGTTAGGAAAAAAGCTAAAAGTTAATATTACATTACAACAAATTATCTATGCAGATGTATTCCAGCACAAACTTATTAAACCAACATTTATACCAGGATGCATCAGAAGTATATCGGCACAGAAATGCCCAGACAAGTTATATATTTATATTGCATGGATTACTTAATTTAAATAAATGCCCAATATCCTAGAAGTTCAATTTAGAGGTGCTTTGTTTCATTTTTCAGTCTTTATAGTTAACACAAATAAAAGAATCATTCAGATCCTAGGATAGAGTTTAAAGATCATCCCTGTATTCAGCAACTGACAGCAAATTTATTCAGTAAAGACAGTCCAGACCCTCCGCAAAGTTTAATATATATTTATCTCCCAGTGTAATCCTGGTTAATCTGATGTCATTTTAAGGGCAATTTTTCTCATTGAACAAATCAAAAAAATTACGGACTGAGAGCCAAAAGAAACTCTTAAAGACTATTTGGTCTAACTTCCTATCTTGATTTTTAATTATAGATTTTTTTAAAAAACTAAAGCCCCCCCCCAAAGGAAAAATGATATTCCCAAGGCTTTCCAAATACTTTAAAAACTATTTTTAATACTTTAAAAATATGGAAAACAACACAAAAGTTTCTGAGAATTTGATTTCAAAGTATTAGCCATTTATTAAAAGTTTGATGCTTTCAAACCTTTTCAAAGCTTGACAACGAACTTTTTTTGTAATTTATTTATTTATTTTGTGTGTGTGTGGCCAGTTCAGCCCACCAGGGGGCGGGGCTGGCTGGCA